GACTCTTAACTTTTATAAAGAATATCTCTTTGGATTTGAGACTTTAGTCTTTGCAACTTTACAGATCTTCTTTATCCACCAAGAGCTTGTAACACTTCAAAGAGAAAGGAAAAATTGAAATCGCATCATATGACCCCTTTAATTTAAAAAATAAAAACAATCTGACAAAGTATTAAACCTTTGTGTGTAAGTCGTCTTTCAGCGTTTGTGCATGTGTTTGCTGTGTGTCTTTAACAGTGATCTGATCCCAGACAGCTCCAGAAGCCTGTAGCCACTTCAGTAACTGCTTTCTTGCTCTGTTTGTGTGTGTCAGTCTCGGATGCAGACAGCTCAGACGGCCTGCAGCTGAAGAAGGAGCATGCCTTAAGAGTCTTCACTTACATCAGCACATGGACACAGAGGTCAGCACTCAGTCATTCACATATTCACTTCATTAACTCTCTCAAACATTTGGTTACTCATTCATTCCTTAATTGGTTGGTTTGTTTGTTCATTTGTTCACTTCTCAATTGGTCATTTATTCAGTTGACTTCTCACTCAATCGCATGTTTATTCCTAACCTATAACTCAATGTTATTTGTTCATTCACTCACTGCAATCTTTCATACATTCATTTACTCATTCATCGCTTGCAGATTCATTCACTGACGCATTCACTGGTTCCCTTGTCCACTCACTCACTGTCTTTATTTAATAATTTATTCTCATTCACTGACTGACTCATTTATTCATAGTCATTCACTCACTGATTCGCTCCATTCATTCATTCATTCATTCTCAATTGCTTGCTGACTCGCTCACTGACTCACTCATTCATTCGTTCACTGACTTGCTCATTCATTCATTCATTCTCATTCACTCACTGACTCGCTTTGTCGCTCATTCATTAATTCTCATTCACTTACTGATTCGCTCACTCATTCTCATTTGCTCACTGTCTTGCTCATTCATTCATTCTCATTCACCCACTGATTCACTCACTGACTCGCTCTGTTGCTCATTCATTCATTCTCATTCACTTACTGATTCGCTCACTCATTTATTCTCATTTGCTCACTGTCTTGCTCATTCATTCATTCTCATTCATTCACTGATTCATTCACTGACTCGCTCATTCATTCTCATTCACTTATTGATTCGCTCACTCATTTATTCTCATTTGCTCACTGTCTTGCTCATTCATTCATTCTCATTCACTTACTGATTCACTCACTGACTCGCTCATTCATTCATTCTCATTCATTCTCATTCACTTACTGTTTCGCTCACTCGTTTATTCTCATTTGCTCAGTCTTGCTCATTCATTCATTCTCATTCATTCTCATTCACTTACTGATTTGCTCTCTCATTTGCTCACTGACTCGCTCATTTATTCATTCTCATTCACTCACTGACTCGCTCATTCATTCATTCTCATTCACTCACTGATTCTCTCACTGACTCGCTCATTCATTCATTCTCATTCACTCACTGATTCACTCACTGACTCGCTCATTCATTCATTCTCATTCGCTTACTGATTTGCTCACTGATTCACTCATTTATTCTCATTCACTCACTGATTTGCTTGCTGGTCCATGCACTGATTTGATCACTGATTCACTAATTTATTCACACTCATTCACTTACTGATTGGCTCATTCATACATTCTCATTCTGTCACTGCTTCCCTCACTGACTCATTCATTCATTCTCATTCACTTACTGATTCGCTCATTCATTCATTCTCATTTACTCACTGATTTGCTCACTGACTCGCTCATTCTCTTGTTCACTCTCATATTCATTCACTCACTGATTCATTTGCTCATTCATTCATATGTTTTCTACTCCATCCTGCATCATGTTGTTTTCTTTGTCACCATGACTGTTTTTCATGGATTAATTTATGATCTGTGTTGTTTGACCTGTTGTTTGGGAATTTATTGAAATACTGTTAAATTTGTTCAACAGAACCGAAATGTACTACAATCTCCTTGGTAGCTGAAAGCACAATTAAATTAGCCAAAATATTTCATAAACAAACACATAAGAAGCTAGAACCTTGCGAATGATGAGCTGATGGCCGATTCTCTCTGTGTTCATCTGCAGGCAGTGTCTGTGCTGTTTCAAGGAATACAAACACCTCGAGGTGTTCAGCCAATTGGTTTATGCCCTCATTAACTTGGTCATTGTCCAAGTAACCAACCTTAGGGACCGTCTACACAGTGGCAATGGCAACACTAGGACAGAGGGGGCGGAGTCCGAATGGGGCTCCGCCCAGCCACAGCCATCGCCCAGTGAGGACGAGCCGCTGAATGTGGAACGGGACTCGGCTGAAGAGGACGGTGGAGTGGAGGATGGAGATCAGCACAAGAACCAAAATGAGGGGGTCAAACCGGATTCCCAGCCCAAGCTCAGTGAACCCACAGCGGGCGAGAGCGGGAACGACAGCGGCCTGGACCCGTTTGCATCCTGGAGCACAGAAGACCAGGAGAAACTGCTGCTGTGTGCTGCCAAGATCTTTCAGATCCAGTTCCCTCTGTACACAGCCTACAAACACAACACACACCCCACTATAGAGGTAATTCATGCTCGTATAGGCAACAGTTTTCAACAGTCTGTCTTCCAAGGTGTTTTTTTTTTTTTTTTGTGGATTGGATTTTGAGATGTGGGCATTGCACTCAAGCTTGCACTTAGTTGTGGAGGGTTGAAGCAGACTAAATGCTTGGAGAAGTCACCATACGTCACCTAAATGTGTCCTTTTACTCATAGATTCAGTTATAACATCTTACAAGGTCAAAAATAAAGTTAAAATGAAACGCATTCATGGATTAATAGTTCACGCATTTACGAAATGGAGTGAATTTTCTTTTCATGCATATCAATTTTAAGCCATTATCCAAAATAACCAGCTTCGAAATGAATCACATTTGATTCTCATCAAGGTTGCTTTACTGAAGGTATCACCAAAAATGATGCCTTAACCAATCCCAAAATTAAAAATTGTTCCTTTTTTGATGCTCTTTCTGTAGATGTTACTGAATTTCTGTGTGCAGTTATAATAAGGTTAATGCGTAGTCAGACTGACTGATAAAGACTGTTGCTCAAGTGTACACGACACTGTGCGTAATCGAATATTTGATAGACTAAATACACATCACGCATCATTTTTGTCTTTCAGAGCAAGCTCACAACGTCAAGGCCAATTGTAATGCAATTATGCATATATGTGCCAAACGAAGCTGAGCTACAGTCGTATTGACTCAACATTTTAAAAAGACAAATCACCTAAATCAAACTTTTCAAGTGCATGTAAAATCCATTAGAGTGGTTTTCCTGATCAGTCATGGTTGTCAGTACTGAGTACTTGTGTGTGTTTCTAGTTTATCTGTATATCTGTTTATCTAGTATATCTTTTGGACAACATAAGCACTATATACTCTTCCAGTTAGTGCTTTATTACTGCTAAATGATTTGGATGAGCTGATTAACCAGAGCAAATTCTCAAGACAAAAATAGAAGCTGGTTTCTGTTGAAAAGTTGAGTATGGTTTTATTTGGGTTGCTTTTTAATATCCGTTTGTTGTTTTTGTCCTCAGGATATCTCAGCACAAGAGAGCAATATCCTCGGCTCTTTCTGTGATATGAATGTAAGTCTCTCTCTCGCGCACACACACACACATTATGATGGGCTTGATTATACCGTTTAGAGATAATTCATAACCACAATAGATGCTGAGTGGATGGAGAAGGACTAGATTTAACTGACTCAGATCACAGCTAGGTGTGTCCTGTGTGAGAAAGTAACATAACATGTAATATTTAATAAATGATTATTTTTGCACACAACATATAGCATACATGACACAGACTATATTATATTATATTGTTGTGATGATTATTATATTATTACAACAGCTTAATATATTACTTTATAAGGCTATTTTTCTGGTAATTATATGACAAATATCTGTTTATATTTTATTATCAATCTTTGTTATGATTTTAATAAGTACTAGGTCATGGATGGTTTTCATACCTCATGTTTACTATATATAGTTTTGTATATGTTAGTTTTGTAATGTAATCTTATATTCATATTATATATTATATTGTTGTGATGATTATATACAACATTTCAAACATGTTTTATAAGTATATTATTGTGATAATTATATTATCATGTTATTTTATTATTATTAATAAAATAGGCATTGGAATCTCACTCATGATTGGCCGGAGAGAGATCTTCTGAAGTTTATTTTGATTAAACTCATTTTAAAGTTTGTTTCTGTCCTGTAAAAGCATCCAGCGCTGAGTCATGTGACCACACAATAATGCTGTTGAGATAAAGGAAGTGTTTTCTTTCGGCATAATTTAGGAAAATGATTTGGGTGTTTTAAGTGATTATATTGCGTGCTAATGGGCTGATGTGTGTGTGTGTGTTTCAGGATGTGGAGGTCCCTCTGCACCTGCTGCGATATGTGTGTATGTTCTGCGGGAAGCACGGCCTCTCTCTGATGAAGGACTGCTTTGAGTTCGGCGCTCCTGACACTCTCCCCTTCCCCATCGCACATGCCTTCATCACCATCGTCTCTAATGTGAGTCCACACAGTCAAACAAACCTCACTCAAACCAGAGTCTGACTTGTTAGATCTGTAACCAATCAGAGGTTTTTTTTGTGTGTGTACAGATCAGAATATGGTTGCACATTCCCGCTGTGATGCAGCACATCATCCCGTTTCGCACTTATGTTATCAGGTAAGAACACCTTTCTAAACTAGACCTAAAGGTTCGAAATCATTAATTGCCAAGTGCAAGTGTGCAGGAATATCTGTTTCATCTAATCGATCCTAACTGATTGTCTGAGAGATATAAACGAGACGCAGGCTACTCTTAGAAAGAGCTCTGCCGCCAAGAATCTGCTCTCTGCTGAGTTGCTAGGAAGAGCATCCCTCACCATAGCAACAGTCGCCATGGCTCTCCTCACATGACCTTGGTGGGAGCCAGACGGCTGGCAGGGGAGCTGAGAGAGTGCTGGTCATGTGACTCGAGCCAGACAGGATTAGAGCAGCACACAGAGACTCACAGAGAGAGAGTGTATTCGTTTATTCACACGGAAAGGTTTTCTGAGATTTTTGCTGATTTTCTTTTGTATTATATTATATTTTATTATATTGTAAACATGTATCCCACCTCAAATTGACTATTATATTAAAATACTATACTATATTATATATATATATATATATATATATATATATATATAATATATA